CCAAGAGGACTTTTTATAATGATTTTTCAGAGCCTGTCATAATTGTATGTGCATATGCACATAAGTACCTTATAACAAAATATGAAATTAAGCAACACTAACAGAAATGAATAGGAAAACAGACAGTTCAGCAATAAGAATTAAAGGAATGAATTCCCATTGTAGTTTGTTAGGGCTGGTTAACAAAGTACTAGCACAGACTGGGTGAGTGAACCAATAGAAATTTATTTTCTCATAATTCTGTGTTAAGGACAAAGGAAATCTATGGTTAACCTAAGTGTGCCTGGACTTTCTTGAGAAATATTCACATTCAAGGCACTATATAATGGACATTCCAGAATCTGCCTGCAAGACAAGTCCAGAGGGTTATGTTAATGACTTTGTTTATCCTACAAAGCCTAGGGTGACCTAGTGGGCAACGCAGTAGTTATGTCCAAGATGGCTGCAGTCATGTCAAGCTGAATCCCTACACATGGAAAGTATATGCAACCAAAGAAATTGGACTTCATCAAAATTAAAATCTTTGGTTCTCCAAAGGGCACCATCAAGAAGTAAAAAGACAGTCCAACACAAATAGAGAAAATCATGACAGATAGTAGCCTTAAGGTTTTTTTTCCTTTTTGTATTGTATTTGGTTTGGTATCAGGATAATGCTAGCCTCCTAACACCAAGTGGGAAGTGCTCCTTTTATTTCCTGAAAGAGATTGTGTAAAATCACTGTTAAGTTATTTTTGAGGCCAGCATTGTGCAGAGCAAGTTTAGCCGCTTCCTGCAACACCAGCATCCCACATGGACACCAATCTGCGTTCCTCTGTGCCACAATGCTGGACCCTCTCACATGAACTTAACACAGTAAATTGCCCTCTCAGCATTGCTTTAGCCATGTACCATACATTTTTTTAAGGTTTTATTTTATTTTATTTTATTTATTTTTTGACAGGCAGAGTAGATAGTGAGAGAGAGAGACAGAGAAAGGTCTTCCTTTTGCCATTGGTTCACCCTCCAATGGCCGCCACGGCTGGCACGCTGCAGCCGGCGCACCGCGCTGATCCGAAGGCAGGAGCCAGGTACTTATCCTGGTCTCCCATGGGGTGCAGGGCCCAAGCACTTGGGCTATCCTCCACTGCACTCCCTGGCCACAGCAGAGAGCTGGCCTGGAAGAGGGGCAACTGGGAAAGAATCCAGTGCCCCGACGGGACTAGAACCCAGTGTGCCAGCGCCACTAGGTGGAGGATTAGCCTATTGAGCCGCGGCGCCGGCCATGTACCATACATTTTGATGTGTTTATTTTTGCTGGGGACCGCCTTGGCGCCATCTTGGCAATCTTCTGAGGTAGGAACATCATACCTGCATCCCTTAGAAGGCCAAGGATGCTGGAAACAGTCCTCTCATGCCTTAGGTTGTGGGAAGGCTCACACCACAGAGGCCTTGGACATCTTGTTCCAAGATAACAGGCAAGGGTCTGTGTATCACACAAGATGGTCCAGCCCTCCTCATGAGAGTCTGATGGATACCACCACAGAGGTGAAATGTGTTGTCGTGAACATAGGTACACTTACTGACACAGCAAGGCTGAATGTTATCTGGAGGGAATAAAAGCCACAAGGAGAGGCCAAGAGGCATTCCTTCTCTGCTCTTGAAGAGGCTCCCTCTGGCTGCCTGCTTTGCCATAACCCGGTCTTCGTCTTTATTCATGCTTCTTCTTTGACTCACAACTTAATTAAAAGTTGTTCTTTAGTTTCCAAGTGTTTAGACACTTTTCTGTTGGTGATTGATATTTAACTCCATTATGATCAGTGCATATGCTGTATGACTTCAATGCTATAAATCTGCTGAGGCTTATTTTGTGGTCCAGAGTGTGGTCTTGCTTGATAAATGTTCAGTGAGCACCTGAAGTGTAATTTGTTAGATACTTTATAAATGTCAGATCCTATAGAATGATTGCAGTGTTGGTGTCTATCCACCCATTGCTAAGAGTGGCATGTTAACATCTCCACGTATTAATTGTGATTGGGTTATGTCTCTGTCATTTCATCTCTATAGTTTTTTGTTTGTTTTGAGGCTCTAGTGTTGGGTCCATACACATTTAGAATTGTCGTCTTCCTAGTGGATCAGCCCTTTGTTCATATGTAACATCTCTATTTGTCTCGTTACTTTTTGTTCTGAAGTCTACTCCTTTGGTATTAATATTACTATTAGTCATTTACTTTTTAAAAAGCAGTGTTTGCATGATAAGTCATTTCTCATCCTTTCAGTTTTAACCTGTCTATGTTTGAAGTGCGTTTCTTAAGGACAGTATATTACTGGGTCCCCTCCCCCCCTTTGGTTAATCCACTGTGCCAGTTTTAATTGACATGTTTAGACTATTTGTATTAAAGGTAATTATTCTGTGGCTCCCTCCTCCCTCCCTCCCTCCCTTCCTCCCTCCCTTCCTTCCTCCCTCCCTTCCTTCCTCCCTCCCTCCCTTCCTCCCTTCCTCCCTTCCTTCTTCCCTTCCTTCTTCCCTTCCTTGTGTTGGTGTCTTATCACTTTATGTGGTTGTCTTAGATGTTGTTCTAGATATTACAATACATAAAATTTACCCTAGTCTAATGATATTAGTTTTTTAATACATTAGAGCATTGAAACTTAAATTTTCATTTAGTCCCCTTAGCCTCTCTCACTTCAAAAACAAAACAGTTTGAAAATAGAGAGAGAGATTGGCTGGCGCTGTGGCTCACTAGGCTAATCCTCCGCCTGCAGCACTAGCACCCCAGGTTCTAGTCCCCGTTGGGGCGCCGGGTACTAGTCTCAGTTGCTCCTCTTCCAGTCCAGCTCTCTGTTGTGGCCCGGGAGGGCAGCGGAGGATGGCCCAGGTGCTTGGGTCCCTGCACACCCACATGGGAGACTGGGAGGAAGTACCCAGCTCCTGGCTTCAGATGAGCGCAGCACCGGCTGTAGCGGCCATTAGGTGAGTGAACCAACAGAAGAAAGACTTTTCTCTCTGTCTCTCTAACTCTGCCTGGCCAAAAAAAAAAAAAAAAAAAGAGAGAGAGAGAATCAATCTTCCATTCCCTGGTTCACTCCAGACATGGCCACAACAGACAGCACTTGGCCAGGGGCTTCATCCCAGTCTCACATGTGGATGGCCGGGAAGCAAGCCCTTGAGTTGTCTCCTGCTTTCCCATGCCATTAGCAGGGACCTGAATGGAAAGTGGAACAGCCGCAGGCGGAGGATTAGCCTATTGAGCCATGGCGCCGGCACCCCGGGTTCTAGTCCCAGTCGGGGCGCTGGATTCTGTCCCGGTTGCTCCTCTTCCTGTCCAGCTCTCTGCTGTGGCCCAGGAGTGCAGTGGAGGATGGCCCAGGTCCTTGGGCCCTGCACCCACATGGGAGACCAGGGGGAAGCACCTGGCTCCTGGCTTCAGATCAGTGCGATGCGCTGGCCGCAGCAGCCATTGGGGGGTGAACCAATGGAAAAGGAAGATCTTTCTCTCTGTCTCTCTCTCTGTCCACTCTGCCTGTCAAAAAAAAAAAAAAAGGGCGGAATAGCCAAGACACAAACTGGCACCCATACTGGATGCTGGCATCACACGTTCTAGCTTTACCTGCTGAGCCACTACGTCAGCCTCATGCCTCACTTTTTAAATATAATTGTCTTAACTTTCTTTCTATGAGGCTGCTCTATTTTGGTAGAGGTCCGTGTGTGTGTGTGTTTTTAATCTGTCAACCTTACTGAATTATCAGTTCTAGTAGTTCACTGGAGTGTCTTGAATTACTATAGGTAGTCATATACTCTATAAAATGGCATTTTCATCCCTTCTTGCATCTACTATCTTTTATCTCATTAAAAGCAAAAATGAATTTTATTTTTTCGATGAATGTCTTCATTTTGTCTATAGAAAATGAGATATTCACTGTTCTCTGCTTTTAAGTTTTTGTGTTTCTCCTTCATCCCAAAGCATGCCCTGATCTCAGCACTAGGCATGTGTTACTCGCTCTCCCAAAGATGTGTTTACCGCCTCCTCCCCCTTCCTGGTTCTTGCTCTTTGACCTTCTAAAAGGTCTTTACTCAAATGTCACCTTCCTTTCCTGATCATCTCCTTCAAGTTGTAATCCATACTCCCATCAGATCCTTATTCTCTGCCCTACTCGATGTAGCATATTAGCTATTAAATGGTTAAGCTGTGTCTTAGACTGTGAATCCCCGGAAGGCGGGAATCTTTCTCTGTTTTGTTCACTTGTTTTTTATGGATCGCCCAGAACAGAGACATAATCAATCATTTTTTGTTTCACATTTTCTTTCCTCTAACTGGTACTACTACTACAGGGCCATACGGGTGAATGTTTTCTATAGTTCTCTGTGCCTTTTGTCATATAACTTGTTTTATTTCTTATTTGTACTAGCAATAATTTTCATCTGGCTTAAAACTCAAACGGTATGAATGGTTTATGTTCAAATGTATTCCTCCCACTTTGGCGCTTAAAGCATCCCGTTCATTTGCTCAGAATCAACTAATGTTGTCAATTTCTTGACTCTAGTTTCAGAGAGATTCCTATAAGGCTTGCTTGCCTTTTTTTTTTTTTTTAAGATTGATTTATTTATTTGAGAGGCAGCATTAGACAGAAAGGTCTTCTGGCCACTGGTTCACTCCCCAAATGGCTGCAGTGGCCGAAGCTGGCAGACTTGAGAAATCGAGAGACTATATGGCCTGCCAAGCTTGGGATATTTACTGTCTGGTCCTTTACAGAAAGTTTGCCAACTCCTGCAAGTAGATAGGATATAGGCAGGGAAACTATTGATAACTGTTAAAGTAATGAAAATGAGTAATTTATTACAGTTGGGGAGGGGTACTAGAAGATTAGGTGGCTTAAAGAGGTTAGCCTGAAAGGAATGCAATAGGAAGAGCATCACCAGAGAGAGGGAGTAAAAGACCCTTCCAAGCTAGAAAATTAACAGTTAAATCAGGCATGGAAGTGACTTAGCTTTAATCATGCTTTTCTCATCTTTCCCTTGCTAGCCAAGAAGGATCAGGAAGGTGGAGAAGAGAAGAAATCTGTGCAAAAGAAAAAAGTAAAAGAGTTAAAGGTGCTGGACTCAAAGACGGCGCAGAATCTCTGTGAGTAACTACGGTTCCTGGTTCCAGCAGCTATTTGAAAAGTGAGGTAGTTTTAAGGACTGAATTCTATTCAGTCTAGTGTCCCGCCATATGAAGCTTCCATTTGGTGAATTATATTCTATGCCAGGCACTGAATAGTGGGTTTTCAATATATCATTTCCTCTCTTGGATAACGCTGCAAGATTAAGTTTCTAGTTTTATGTCAAGGAAATGTGCTAAGATTTTAGGAATTTTCTGCCTCATGTAAGACAGGTGTGAGCTTTGAACCTCAAAGTTATCTACTGTTTGCACTGTAACCAGAGAAAAGCTACAGCAGATATTCTTTTTAGCTACTGTACCTTTCGTACTTTAACGAAAGCTAAAATTGCTTTGTGATTTAGGATAAAGGAGGAACATTTTTTAAAAAAGACTTATTTATTTGAAAGGCAAAGGTACAGAGGCAGAGGTCTTCCATCTGCTGGTTCACTCCCCCAATGGCCAAAACAGCCAGAGCTGGGCTGATCTGAAGTCAGGAGCTTCTTCCTGGTCTCCCATGCTGGTGCAGGAGCCCAAGCTTAGGCCATCTTCCACTGCCTTCCCAGGCCACAGCAGAGAGCTGGATGGGAAGTGGAGCAGCTAGGACTCGAACCAGCACCCGTATGGGATGCCTGCACTGCAGGTGGCAGCTTTACCCGTTATGCCACAAGGCCAGCCCCAAGTAGGGACATTTAATAGTTCTCAGAGAAGTATGAGTAACGACAAGAGTCCTGAGCTTGCTTACTCATAAATTTGGCTTCAAAATTTCAGACCAATACAGAGTTGATTGGGTGTTACTTATTTGATCAAGGTGAATGTTGATTTTTTTGTTGAGCATTTCAATAATTGAGCCATGTACTTTATGCTGAATATTAGAAATATTGGGCAAATATTTGAAGTTCTGCTATGTGACAGGCTGTATTAGGCACACACTAGCACGTGTTCCAGGGATTACAAGGATATTACATTCCATAAAACCGAGAATCTTGTGACATGGTTAAAGTTGAGATGTGACTTAGCCATTTGAATCTAGGGTCCCTCAATATGCAGCTTCCAGTAAATAAAGTAGACATACCCAAAAGTCAGTGATAGAGAATAATCTAAGGGCCCACTGCTCTCATTCTAGTATATGGAATTTAGTGATTCAGCATTAAGTGCCTCATTTGTCGGGTAGAGAAAGAAAGCCAAATAATCACAGCGCAGATAAATACATACTATGATGGAGGTATGTTAGGACACTTCTGAGCATGCTGGACAAAGGAACATCTAAACTACATGGGGCAATAAGAGGAAGCAGTTCCTACAGGACGCTGTGAACAAGGCACTGCTCAATTCCCTAAGAGTTCTTTCAGCTTAGTTTACTTAAAGGGTGGGGACCAGCTGGAGGAGCGGCATCTGCATGTGTGAAGGCACAGGGGCACGAGTTAACAGTCCAGCACAGCAACGCCGAGGATGTCACTCAAGGAATGTAGTCATTTTGAGTCTAGATTGCTAGGCTGATGTAAGACTGTAGGCAGAGAGGTAAGTTGAGTTACTGCTTCAAACTGGCTGAGAAGTGGTCCGGGCCTGGAACTACGAGAGTGAAAATGAAGACAGCAGAGGACATTAAGAAGTTTAAGGGGACCTAAGGATTGAGTGAGTGAATGAAAGGGGTGTTTCTTGGTTTAGCTCAGTGCTGAAGTGGAGCCATTTACTGAAATAGGAAAATTCAGCCAAGGACAGAATCTCTTTGGGCTCCAGGGAGTGATGAATGGTGGGTAGGAGCAGTGATGAGGATGAATCTTACAAAGATAAATGGTTGCCGTCTTTTCAGTGGCTTTGTAAGGACAGAATAAATGAGACTTGTAGAAGTCAGGGAGAAAAGATTATTTTTAGAATGGTACAAAATGAAGAAGAGATGTTGGTAATTAAACAGGAACACTGGGTCAGGAAAGACATTTATTTGAAAGGTGAGTGACAGAGTGTAGTAGAGAGACTTTCCATGTACTGGGCTAGGCCAAAGCCAACAGCCAGAAACTCCATCCAGCTCTCCACGTGGGTTGCTGAGCTTTAAATACTTGAGGCATCGTCTGCTGTCTCCTAGGTGCATTAGCAGGGAGCTGGATCAGAAGCAGTGTAGCAGGAACTGGAACCAGCACTCCAGTATGGGTCAGGACACCCACTCCAGAGGAGGTTATTTTTAGACAGAGCAGAGGCCGGCGCCGCGGCTCACTAGGCTAATCCTCCGCCTAGCGGCGCCGGCACACCGGGTTCTAGTCCCGGTCGGGGCGCCGGATTCTGTCCCGGTTGCCCCTCTTCCAGGCCAGCCCTTCTGCTGTGGCCAGGGAGTGCAGTGGAGGATGGCCCAGGTGCTTGGGCCCTGCACCCCATGGGAGACCAGGAAAAGCACCTGGCTCCTGGCTCCTGCCATCGGATCAGCGCGGTGCGCCGGCCGCAGCGCGTCGGCCGCGGCGGCCATTAGAGGGTGAACCAACGGCAAAAGGAAGACCTTTCTCTCTGTCTCTCTCTCTCACTGTCCACTCTGCCTGTCAAAAAAAAAAAAAAAAAAAATAGACAGAGCAGAGGTTTCAGTTGTAGAGGTGGCCATAAGCACCTTTTCCTTTAGCATGTACCCACAGCTGGGCAATTCTAAACTAGTCTTTATCCAAGCCTTTTCTAGCCGGGCTCTAGCTGAAAGCCCCAGTGTTCAGTTGAAAAGTGGCATGATGGCGCCGCAGCTCACTAGGCTAATCCTCTGCCTGTGGCGCTGGCACCCCGGGTTCTAGTCCCGGCCAGGGCGCTGGATTCTGTCCTGGTTGCCCCTCTTCCAGTCCAGCTCTCTGCTGTGGCCCGGGAGGGCAGTGGAGGATGGCCCAAGTGCTTGGGCCCTGCACCCGCATGGGAGACCGGGAGAAGCACCTGGCTCCTGGCTTTGGATCGGCGCGGTATGCCAGCCGCGGCAGCCATTGGAGGGTGAACCAACAGCAAAAGGAAGACCTTTCTCTCTGTCTAAATCTGTCAAAAAAAAAAAAAAAAAAAAAAGAAGTGGTAGGATATTACGGAGGAACTGCTGAGAGGCAGAGAGCATGGAATGGGGACCCATATAGGACTGCTGAGCAGTGCCAAGGCCCCAGCTATCATCAAGGCCGCTACAAATTCAGAATATCTGATCAGCATCAGCCTCACTGTCAGAGTAAAAGAAGTGAAATGGCTCGATTAACAGGGGCTCGGAGAAGGTCACCAACTGTAGCAGCAGAAGTCAGCACTGTGGCATAGAGGGTTAAGCTGCCAGCTGCAGCTCCGGATATCCCATAGGGGCCGGTTCCAGCTGCTCCACTTCCAATCCAGCTCCTTGCTAATCTGCCTGGCAAAGTAGCACAAGATGGTCCAAGTGTTTGGGCCCGTGCACCCACATGGGAGATTCAGGAGGCTCTGGATTCCTGGCTTCAGATGGTCTCAGCTCCAGCCGTTGTGGCCATTTGTGGAGTGAACCAGCAGAGGGAAGAGCTATCCATCTATCCCCACGTCTCTTCCTGTCTCCCCCTCTATGTAATTTTGCCTTTCAGATAGAGGAGGTTGAGTGGACCCAATACTCAGAGAAAATGGAACAGTCAGGGGCCTGCCCTGCACTGAGGACAGGATGTGCTTGTTTATAAGGCAGTGGCAGCTGTGAGGATGGAGTCCTGGGAGTGGGGTGGAAGCCTGTGATGTATATAGACAGAACACCAAAGGCTGGTGTGTGGAATGTGGTGCTCAGTACAGTACAGCTGGTGTGTGACATAAATGTGGGGAGCGTAAATAGTGGGCTCATAAATTGTAGGTGGTGAGGTTTCTCAGAGAGGTTTGCAGAGTCCTGTCGGGAAGATTACGCAGAGGGGATGGGGGAGACTTGCTGACGATGTGTTTGTGTCTCATTCCTTGGCAGCAATCTTTCTAGGGTCCTTCCGCATGCCCTATCAAGAGATTAAGAATGTCATCCTGGAGGTGAATGAAGCTGTTCTCACCGAGTCCATGATCCAGGTGAGGGGAGAGGCAGTTCTGCCGGGGCTGGCTGCTTAGCTGCACACCTGCCACAGGTCCGGCCTCGAGGAGGAGCTGCCCCCCACTGGAGCTGTGCACGCAGGGCTGCCAGCTTTGGAGAAGCTGCCACTTCTGATGCCATCTCGCTAGCCAACTGTCCCTTCCTCCCTGACTATCCCTTCACACCATGTGTTTCTTTCTGCATGGTGGCCCTTGGGCAGAGTGTGGGACTACCAAGAGTCAAAGTCATTTAAAGTAATTTAGGGCCGGCGCCGCGGCTACATAGGCTAATCCTCCGCCTGTAGCGCCGGCACCCAGGGTTCTAGTCCCGGTTGCCCCTCTTCCAGTCCAGCTCTCTGCTGTGGCCTGGGAGTGCAGTAGAGGATGGCCCAAGTCCTTGGGCCCTGCACCTCATGGGAGACCAGGAGAAGCACCTGGCTCCTGCCATCGGATCAGCACGGTTCGCTGGCTGCAGCGCGCCAGCTGCAGCAGCCATTGGAGAGTGAACCAACGGTAAAGGAAGATCTTTCTCGCTGTCTCTCTCTCTCGCTGTCCACTCTGCCTGTCAAAAAAAAAAGAAAAAGTCATTTAGGCTTGAGTTGTCAGCACGTTCTTCTCTCTTTTAGAATCTCATTAAGCAGATGCCAGAGCCGGAGCAGTTGAAAATGCTTTCTGAACTCAAGGATGAATACGATGACCTAGCCGAGTCAGAGCAGTTCGGCGTGGTGGTGAGTAGGAGGCCCCTCCTGCCACAGACCCTTCAGGGCCCTTAGCTCTTGGCCCATTGTCTGCCTGGAACCTCGCTCGCTCTCCTGGCCCTGCTCTTAGATCTCTGATGCCACCGTAGGAGGCTCAAGTTGGTTTTTCTGATCCCTCTCTCGGCCTGTCTCCCCCACTAGATGGGCACTGTGCCCCGTCTGCGGCCTCGCCTCAATGCCATCCTCTTCAAACTACAATTCAGTGAGCAAGTAGAGAATATCAAGCCCGAGATCGTGTCTGTCACTGCTGCCTGCGAGGAGCTGCGCAAGAGTGAGAGCTTCTCCAGCCTGCTGGAGATAACCCTGCTGGTCGGAAACTACATGAATGCTGGCTCGAGGAATGCCGGTGCTTTCGGCTTCAATATCAGCTTCCTGTGTAAGGTGAGCCCAGGGGTCAGAGCAGGCCGGGCCGGGGAAGGCTGCAGGCCTGTAGGAGCTTGGGACTAAGTTTTCTCCTCTTCTTACCCTAAGCTTCGGGACACCAAGTCTACGGATCAGAAGATGACACTGCTGCACTTCCTGGCCGAGTTGTGCGAGAATGACTATCCCGATGTTCTCAAGTTTCCAGACGAGCTTGCCCATGTGGAGAAAGCCAGTCGAGGTGCGGCATGCGGCAGGTTGGGGTTCAACTAAAAAAAGTGGTTCTGGCCGGCACCGCAGCTCACTAGGCTAATCCTCCACCTTGTGGCACCGGCACACCGGGTTCTAGTCCCGGTCGGGGCACAGGATTCTGTCCCGGTTGCCCCTCTTCCAGGCCAGCTCTCTGCTGTGGCCCGGGAGTGCAGTGGAGGATGGCCCAAGTGCTTGGGCCCTGCACCCCATGGGAGACCAGGAGAAGCACCTTGGCTCCTGGCTTCGGATCAGCGCGAGCGGCGGCCACAGCGGCTATG